GCCGGAACCCTATGCGACGTACCCTCGTGTTCTGCAGGTTCGAGTTTTTGTTTTCTTTTCTCTTTCTGTAACTGCAACTTAATCAAGCTTTCCAGCCTACACCATTGCCATCTCGGTGTAAGTAAACAATCTTTTAAACTACCGATACGCGTCCGTGCCTAATTCCAGAGCGAAGGCCTTCCCTCTCCGCCCCCGCGTGCCCGGGCTGCTGACCACAGCCCGTGTGCAGCGCGAAAAAGGGCTCAGGGCGCTCCCGGCCCACACAATCATATCTACAGTGGACATACTAGCCCCAAAGCCATGCTGACTGTAGTAGATTTTATATACCTTATGATTTGTACACAACTGCACTGTCTGACTACATGTCAGTTTTAACAAAAAACTGCTTTAACAGATGCATCTGTGACCACCATGGGTTTTTGCCATTTGACCCACTAGCACAGCCTATTATTTTAGGCAGAGATGACCCAAGCAGAGTGTGGGGCCCGGAGCCAGTCAGCCTGTGCAGGGCCCTGCCTCTGTGCACCCCAGACGCAAAGAAGCCAGTGGCAGATTCGGTGCCAGCTGGATGTGGTGCCAAGCAGCTGAACACAAAGCCGGCAGCAGCAGTGGCACTGAATTGCCATAGCCACTCCATCTGGCTCCACAGCGCCCCCAAAGCACAGGGCCTGGAGCAGTCACCCTGATTCACCACCCCCTAAGGAAGGCCCTGATTTTAGGGCACTTTCACATGTACTCTGATGCGTTCCAATTGGAATGTGTTATTCTACTCAGAATGCTCCAGCTTGCTGCAACATCTCATATATTCAGCATCCCCCATTTCAAAATGGTGGTGATGGTGCTTTAACTAAAGCTTGCTCAACAAGCATTAGTTAAAGTGTCCTTGCTGCCATTTTGAAATGCAGGATGCTGAATACACTACATCCTGTGGGTGTTTTAATTAAAGCAGGTCCTGAGAGCCACTTCAACTAAAATGCCCCCTATCCCCCACCCCAGGGCATGTGTACAGATGGTCTTGGAGACTAAACAAAGATGACAAACCAAAGGGGATTATTGATCCACATTAGATCACTAAGGGTGATCACTCACTTCACTATCCTTACCCTCACTGGCTAGTAAAACAAGTACTGACCTACATGGACTATTGGTCTAAATGGAAATTTCTAAAAATACAGTTTAAATAATTTAACAGGGTGAATCTCAAATACTAGAAGTCTAAAAATGCACAGCATTTTATTATAGACTCAAGACAGTTGGAGCCTCCAGCTTAGTTTTTCATTTGTCAAGAATACCAGCTCCACTAATATTTATTCTATTCAGTTCATAAGCATAAATAGACATTAAAACAGAAGCTACTCTTGGCATACTATTCAGAAAACAGATTTGAGAGGGATTATCCTAACATTAGAGAGATTTTTTTTTTTTATCCCCTGCTGATTCCTACACCATCTTCCATGATGGCTGACAACTATTTTAAAGAGGTAGCATCTCTCTCCAGATTTATTCTCTAATCAGATGCAAGGGAGATAACTCGGGGACATGGACAACCCCTGTCAAGGCTCTTACAAAAACCAACATAGTCTTATTGTCTGATATGATTCCTCTAACCTGCTAAATTAGTACTTATTTAACTATGTGTGTCTGCCTCCCAAACGTTTGGGAGACGTTTAATGCAGTATTTTCTACTGAAAGCAGATTTAAAAAAAATACAGAAGTTATAAAGGGCTGGTATTGCTCTCTGTGAAAAGCAGCAAGCCTAGCAGATTTTACATAAATGCATTGTGGCAGACTTCGAAAGGTCTGTTACACTTCAATGTTTATGCTTCTTCATAAATGTAAAGTGGCAGTCCATTGTCAGCACATAGAAGTAGATGGTTAACATCCTACAAAAAAGCCTAGTGCACTTCCTCCAAGCTTGTCATACTCTAAATAGTCAGATTTTATAGAAAAACTGGATGTGACTAATGAGCACAATGTGGCATATTTTAGATTCTCTACATACAGAAATAACAGTACTCTTGGAAGCCCTTGTATGAAGTCCATTGGCAAGTCTCGCTGTTAGTTAATGGAAGAGAGGAAGTGACCTGGTGACAGCTTTATGCAACACTTGATTAAGAACTCTGAATTTAGAAGTTAATCTCTGATCCTGTGCATTGCTAAAGGCATGAAAAAGAGCAAGAGCCAAACAAGCATCCAAATGAATGAACCATGAAATGTCAAATTAAGAGAAACATATCCTGTGCCGAGTTGCTCTGAAATACCACAGTTTCCCCAAGACAGAGGAAGATTACATTAATTTGAAAAACAATTAACTAATCCTAGTCCCATCCTATTCTTTCTTCTGAAATATCTTGGGTTCTGACTTTTAGTGCTGCCTGGCATCAAGCCACCCAAACTAAAAACAGCATCAGCTCTGAGGATTTCATATAACCTGTTGCTGAGGAATTGAGGCTGTACCAGAAATCCTGTCTGAGCCTGTGCCCCAAATTCAAAGATGTTACAGCTCAGAGGAATTTCATATACCTAAAACTTAGATATCCAAGCCTTGAGATTTCTCCTCTCCCCAGAATGAAGCAAGCTAACTACGGGGATGGAGATCCCCCAAGGAGAATCCTTTTCTCTACTGAGCCCACACCCAGTGAAGACAATACTCAAATTTGAAGGATTTAATATCTGCTCATTCAAAGGAGTTCAACATCTCTTTATGGCTCTGCCTACCCCTAGGCTGTGTTCTGTAGATCTAAGATGATTCAAGCATAGTGGATTTCATGTCTCCGAAATTGAGAGCCACTGCTTCCTGCCTTGCATCCTCAGACGTGGTAGATGCATCTGCCTAGAGAGTTTCTACAGTGGGCCCTGGCCTGCCCGAAACCTTCCCCTGCTTCCACCTATCCCAAGTCTAGCCTTGACTAGGATTATGTCCCAGGGGCACGGGGGTTAGAAGGGTACCCCGGGGCCGGACCAGGGGGGGAGTAACCACCTACGTACCCCACACAGAGGCCGGAGCGAGTAGGGACACGCGCGCGGGGAGACCGCCAGCGCGGTTTGTGAGCCGCGCTTATATCCAGCTGGGGCCGGGCGACGCCGGCGGGCGACGCCGGCGGGAGACGCCGCCCGGCTGAGATAAAAGGCGGCCCCGGAAGCAGGGCCGAAGAGGAGGCGGGGGAAGCCCGCAGGGAACCCCGAGAGCGGGACCCGTGCCAGCAGGGCACATGCATCTGGCCCGACGGGGTCAACCGAGGCAGCGGCGCTGACTGCAGCGGCTGCCGCGAGAGCGGCCGGGGTAACAGCGGGGGGGGGGGG